ATCTCCTGACCTCGCGATCCGCCCGCCTCGGCCTCCCAAAGTGCTGGGATTACAGGTGTGAGCCACCGCGCCCGGCCTGAGACTCTGTCTGAACAATAAACAAACGTTTCTGAGTTTTGCTTTTTCTATTTTGAAGCTCCCAATTGCTGTTCAGGTTAATAAGATCACAGCTCTATGCTTCACCTAAGAGAAGAGGGTTTAGCAGGAAGTCCGACTTGCCTCTCAGTCACAGATGGTTGTAAGGCATGAGCCGATTGTTAAGTTGAGGTATAATTTAAAGAATCCTACAAAGAAACGCGCATGTCTGAAAATACACCCTTATATCTCCTGAAGTTGTATCCAGTTCCCTTCTTTACAAATGCAAGCATTCCTGAAGAAGGCCACAGAAAAGTCTCTAATCTTTTGGCTTGAATGTGATTAGCATCCTTTAAGAGGAGGAGAGAAGGCAAGGAACGAGAGGGATGAGGACAGGTCCCTGAGCAGGAAAGGTGAGGGACAAAATAACCCGCACCCTGTCAGGTCTAAAGACGCCTTCGGTCCCTCGCCTGCAGACCCGGGTCCGATTCCTCTGCTCCTGCAGGGGCCTGCAGTACGGGGGAAGCCAGCTTGGTGGAGTCCGCAGGCGCCCCCCTTGGAGGTGCAGCACTGGCCTCGCAGTTCCCAGGCGGGAGAGCGCGGGAGGGCGGCCGGCGGGATCGGGTCCTCGGTGGCTGGGGATGCAGCCATGTAAGGCCTTACGAAACGTGCAGAGCCGGCCCCGGCGCCGGCAGTACGGCCGCGGGGGGACGGACACCCACGCGGGAGACCGCCCCAAGCCCTGCCCGCCGCGGGCTGCGGAGGCTTCCGCACAGGCGGGCAAACCGCGCTGCGTCCGCCCCGCCCCGGCCCGCCCTGTGCCGCGGGGCTCAGGGCCCACGACGCTTACTCAGGTGGAGTTTCCAGTTGAGCTCGGCTCGAGGGTTTAAATGGATGACGTGTTCCATCCGAAGTCGGAGTTCATGTGATCTTACTTCTGTGTCTAACCCCGTTCTCACCTCTATCCCTAAATTACTCTCTTCAGCTCCCACCCCTGAGCTCCCTCGCCTGACAGTGATCGGCACTCGTGCTGCCATCTGCAGGTGAAAGGGGAAATTGAGCGAACTCAAGTTGGGCGACCCACGCCTGGAGGAGGGCTTTCAGGACAGGGTAGCGGATATTCCAGATTACTGGAAATCCTGGAATTACTAAAATTTAGATATATTAAGCCCAAAGAGCACAACAATTGGCAAGAGACTTGATCTAGCCTCCACATCCTCTGGAAGTTTTCCTTTGGTTTGTTTTTCCATTATGCGGATTTGGCAGGGGATGAATGATAAATATTTGCACGAATGCAATTTAGGGCCGTAAAACAGATGTTCGCCACCGAGGCTTGTAATCGATGCACATCGGGCAGAGCTGGTTTTTTACCAGCGCCACCTCCATGATGTTACTGTGATTTCCATCATGGGAGGCTCTGCCCTGCCTGTATTGCTCAGAAAGGGCCGTGTGCCATAACCAGTGGTCATATACGGGTCATTCTTAGCCTGGCGGGTTACCCATTACAGTGTTCTCTGTGCCATAGGAAGTCTTTTTTCAGGCATTCCAATGCTATGATTTTGAAAATGAATGATTATTTTTAAAATCATTTTAGAATAATTCCATTAGCATTATGGTTAAAGCGCCTTGGTGACCTTAAGAAAGTCACTTTTTCTCTCTGTGACTTAGTTTCCTCACATACTGATGGGAATAATACACAGGCCACATAGGACTGTGCATTTTAAATGAGATGATACACACAAGCACAGGAATATAACATAAAAGAGGATGTGCTCTAAGCTCAAAATGTCCAAGAAAAAAAAAAAAAAAAAAAAAAAAAGGTGCTCTAAGCTCTAAACATCCAGTGTCAAAAAGTCAGGCTTTGACACTAGCTAGTTTGGGAATATGGGACAAATTACTTCACTTTTCTGTGCCTCAGTTTTCTCACCTGTAATATGCAGATGATGAGAGTATCTGTCTCACAGGTTATTTATGAGAATTAAATGAGATAAAATGTCTTCCATGCTTAGACACAGTAAAGATTCAATAAATGCTAGTCTTCTAAACCTTAGCTAGTCTTTACTATTTTCCAGCATTCTATTGTTTGGAAGATTCTGGGTTTTAAACTCGCAGTTAAACAATCTTCATCTGTTTGTTCACCGTTTTACTTTTGTATCTATTACAATCATATGTAATCCTTCTACCATCCTGGGAGGTAGGTGTCCTCATCCCCAGTTCACAGATGAAGAAGATGAGGCTCATCATAGTTTAGTGCCATGCCTGATATCATCATACAGCACGTGGAACCAGGGCACATACTGTCCAAGACTGGGGCTCTTTTTCCTGTATCACAGCTGCCTTTGTACTTCCTCTAAATGTTATGAGCACCCATTTTATTTTACAAGCCTTTGCTAGATGCCCATGCAGTGTTTGAAATTTTTCAAGTTATGGCAACTTCCTAAAATAAGACTTGAAAATTTCAAGAAACTAAAAGAAATATACTTAGAGCCTTTTCTTCATGGCAAACCTTTTCTTCATGACTTATTAATGGCTTATTAGGTGTTGCTTTCGGAAGGAAGGGTGGAGGGGGCAGCAGGAGGGGCTGCTGGAAGTACCAGTGGCTCAGAAGTGACAAGTGTGTTAAGTTCATGCATCTCCCTCCTTCCTAGCACCCCACATTCCCCTTTTGAAATGTTCCTCCCCTGTAGCGAAATTGCTTATTTTCATCCTCTTTCTTCCCTGACAGACTGTGATCTCTATGAAGCTCAAGACTGTGTCTAACATGTCAGTTCTCTAAAAGTTCTTTCAATTTTCTTTCTTTAAGAAATGCAGAGAAGAAACACTCTTCACTTCAGGAGTCAGGAAACAAGATGACTTACCAAAAAAAAAAAAACACTTAATAACAGATCCACACCAATCTGTAGATCAAGAGATTAGGGATAAATTTCATAATTTTGCCCAAATATCCAAGTGAAGATCCTTCTTTGATGATTAGTAATATTAATAATAATAACAACTAGCACTTATCAAATGCCAACCATGATCAGGCCCTATGCTAAGCATGTTAGATGTATTGGCACATTCGAGTCCTGCAGTAACTCCATATACTAGGTACGCTAGTCATTCTCATTCTACTGATCAAGAAGCAGGCTAAGAGAGAGCTTGGGCTCATCAGCATCCCCTAGCTAGTAAGTAATGTAGCAGATCTGGACTTGAACCCAGGCCTGTCTAACACTGAGAGAGAAGGCTCTAACCACTGCCCTGTGCTGCCTGCCAATGAGTGGCAGAATGCAGCAGGAGTGGCAGCTAGCTCAGGGGAGGTGTCCGATGTGGAACAATGGATGGGATGAGTGTGTGCATGCTTCCTATATGAACCAGCTTGATTCCTTCTCTTTTGTTTATTTTCCACTTCATCGACTGGGTTTGTACCACAGCCATCTTCTTTCGCTATGTCTGGCATCCCTGTCCCTGACCCAAGCCCAGAGTGATCTCTCCCCTAGTCCCTGACACCAGGGCAAGGGGAAATATCCAGTGTCAGAGATCAGCAAAACCCTCCATGTGACCACCAGACAGATTGGCACTCATCTTCCCAGCAAACTGCATCCACGCCTCCGATGAGTGGTTTCAATGGTGGTCAGCTAGGCCAAGATCACGTCTCTCCCTCAGTAAGTCCCAGATGCCCAGGTCACAGGGAACAACTGCCTGTTGCATGCTCCTGTCCCCAAAGGCCAAATCTTTCCACTCAGTTTATGCAGTCCTGAAGCCTCCCGTCCTCTTCCCATGTCCCCATTTGCCCCTACTCATCAAACCTCCCAGGGCCAGATCCTTTTACAACTGACGGGCACAGCCAATTCACTTCTGGGATTTGATTTCCAAATACTCAACAGCCCCAGTAATTTCAGCAATAATTGCACAGGCAGGCCCAGACCATTCACAGCTGCTGCGTCCAAGATTTTTTTAAAAGGCTTTTAGGGATTTTTTTAAGAATTCCAAACTCATTTTCTGTTACATTTAGTTCCAAATAATTAGTAAGCCCCATGGCAGACCCTAGAAACCACCAATCATGTGCTGAACACCTGCAGGAGAGAGAGTGGAACACAGAATGCCTTTATGCCAATGTGGCACTTAAGGAAAAGTAACTATGACTAGAAAAGGCGGAGGAGTGGGTTGAGATTCTGAAGTGGGATTCAAAGCAACTTCAGAGGCCATAGAGAAAGAACTCAACTCCCAGATGCAGAGGAACCATCAGAAGAGCTTGTTGAAATGCAGATTCTGGGGCCGGGTGCAGTGGCTCATGCCTGTAATCCTATCACTTTGGGAGGCCAAGGCGAGCGGATTGCCTGAGCTCAGGAGTTCAACACTAGCCTGGGCAACATGGTGAAACCCCATCTCTACTACAATACAAAAAATTAGCCAGGCATGGCAGTGTGCACCTGTAGTCCCAGCTACTTGGTAGGCTGGGGCAGGAGAATCGCTTGACCCCAAGAGGCGGAGGTTGCAGTGAGCCGAGACGCGCCACTGCACTCTAGCCTGGACGACAGAGCAAGACTCCATAAAAAAAGAAAGAAAGAGAGAAAGAGAGAAA